TTTTTTTTTTTTTTTTTTGATTTTCAGCTGCTCGGCTGATGCAATTTATGCAAAATGGAAAACAACAACAACTTTCGTTGGACATGTCAATGTTAGACATGCACCAAACAGATTCTGTTATCAAGTGCTAGTAACAAATAATCAAATAGAATTACTTATCCCTCATCAAGATTGTCAAGTAAGCAGAATTAGGTCGGTTTTTAATTTCCTGTTCAGCTTTATAACAACAACTGTTATCATTCTTTTCAGAAATTTTTATTCAAAAAACACTTTTATGCATTTTATAATAGCAAAGTAACTGATAAATACATCGCAGTAATACCAATAAGTAATGTAAATTGGACAAAAGTGAGTGAACATCAAAAAATAGCAAAAAATGATAAAATTTAAAAAATGCATTTATGCATATTTCATATACTTATTTAATTTAGTATTTGTTTTGTTTTTAAATATATTTTTCTTACGAAAAAAAATTTTTAATCAATACGACAAAATTATCAATCTTTTGAAATGGAAATGAGATTTAAATTTTACAATGTACTTAGAGGATATTGTGGTCAGTAGCTATGCTTAGAAGGACATAATTAAATTGTAAGCATATTCAAGTATCCTTTTAATTAAAATGTACTTTGTGTGCTGTCCAGCTTCTATTAGTTACACTTGTCATAAAATAAAATTATAATAACCAGCTAATATACATTTTAGTTATCGAAAGTAATAAATTATAATAGTTATATTAGCCTTACTTGCATAATATTAATTTTTTCTAAAAAGTTTCTGCACAATTTTGCATGCATTTTTTTTAAAACAAATTTATAGTATTTAATTGATCAGTATTCAAATTAATGATAAATAGGTCTTTGCATGGATGCATAAGGCATTATTTTTCATTCTCGTGAATAAAACATAAGCAAAAAAATGACAGTAAAGTTAAAAAAGGATTCAACATTATTGAAAGTAAAAAAATGTTAGAACTGGTTTATCTAGATTGGAAAGTTTAAATTGAAGAGCAAATTTATGCAAAAATGTATCTTCTCGTTTTAAACAGGTACCTTTTAATTTTTACGTAAAGTTTACGCAACAAAAACATGCGCAAAATTTGTAAATTTAGCACAAATTCTTCAGTATTGTCATTAATATATTACTACTGGTCATAAGATTGCATTTTTTGTTCAGTATTCAAAAAATATTTTAAAAGAATTACTCTAAAAGAAAAAATAAAATTGAGATAAATATGATTAATCTTGATATTCTCTACGACAGATTTGCAAAAAAAAGAGTGCCCAAAATAATTGCATTCTTCAACTTTACTTGCATGATTTTTATACATCATCACATTTGATTACGTTAAACTTTTTAATTCTTTCTGCTAAACATTCTGTAATAAGCATAAAATGATAAGCGTAAGATTCGGGGTTATATCTTTTTTTTTTTGCTTCATATTTAATAATTAATTTATTTGATATTAGAGATTAACATTATTGGTATAACTGAATTGAAAATTCAAAATGAAGTTAATATTTGCTGCATAAAGCATTTCATTCCTTCCGCTTCAGCGACTAACACCATCCAATATAATGACTGTTTTCAAAATAAACCTTTGGCTTGATAAAAGCAAACAATTAGCTGCTTAAGTTTAGTCTGTAGTAGACAAAGGATTAGAATGTGCAAGAAACGAATTATTATAGTAGAAAATAATATCATTCATAAGTACATTTCTTCGATATTTTCCTGCACACTTCTTGTAGTTAAGAGGATAAAAGCTTTGCTAGGTTTTAACTACAAAGTCTTTCATATAAATTTGTATTCAATAAGCTGACAAATTTTACATATTTTCATATTTATATGGCATATTGCAATCAGAAATGTTATACATTTATCTCTTTTGTTCCAAACTAAGAACTCATATAATTAATATTATTAAAAGACTGAGAGAATTGCTCGTATAATTATCAAAAATTAAGCATAAAGCAAATTATTATCACAGTCTTTTCAAAATATAAAATTTGCACAAAAAGTTTTGTGTAAAAAAAGAAACAAAAATAATTGAAAAAAAAGTAAGGTTGTAGCAAAAATTTGTGGAAGACCAAAAAAAAAGTATGACAATATTATGCATTTTTAATGATTAGTATTAAAAGAATTTATGATGCTTACAAACTTTAATCAAAACAAAAAAAAACTTTATTACTTTAAAAATATTAAATTTTTATTTTGCAAATAATGTAAAACTTATAATTTTTTAAAAAAAAGGCTATTTTCAATTTATGCAATATTTTTATTATCATTTTCTAACTTTTTAAGACTGATGTTTCAGTGAGCACTTGAATTTGCATCAAGCATTTAAAGATGCAAATTTTTTTTTCTTCTTTTTGCGAGACATCAAAACTTCACAATCCTTTTTGCTATGAATTTTTTATGGCAAATAAATTATTTGAATGACTAATAATATATAGAAAAATGGAAATTGTGTAACAGAATAAAAATTGAGCAATTTAAAGCATTTTTACTTTTTGGATTACATTAATGTATGTAAATAATGATAGAAAATGATAGTGTTTAGAAGAGAGTAGTATTAAATGATGTTTAATTAAAGGAAAATCATTTTTTAAACATGACTTCTTCACAAAATCTTGCATTACTCATCAATCAGTGGATGAGTAATTAAATGCAAAAAAAGCATAAATAAGCATAAATCTTTTTTATAATTCTGCCAAAAAAGCAAACTTTGCAAAAATTCTGAAACAAATGCAAGCAGGGAAGCAACATTTTATTTCTAAAGCAAATTTTTTTCACACTACACACAACATTTACTTATTGATCTATTTTACTTATTTTTACTTATTGATATATTTAAAAAATAAAATAAAATAATTTAATACATTTTTTTTAAATATACGTTTTTAAATTTAGAAATAATAATTAAAGTAAGCATAGAAAAATTAATAGCTTTATAATGCTAGATGCGAAAAAAAGAATAAAGTGATAACAATTAAAAAATTTATTCTTGGTTATTCTCATTTGGCTAAAAAATTTCTGATAACTTTCTTTAACTAAAACACTCACAATATTAATGTCAAAAATAAGAATAATAAAATAAATTATAGTATTAAAAACAATACTGATACGATTAATATCCGTATAATATTTACTTATGATTTTGCAGATCACTGAGGCCATTTGGTGTGATAATTGCAACTTCCGTGCTAATATCATTTCATCCTCATTATGTTACTGCTGGTGACCGTATATATTTTCTACAGTGTTTTCATACTCGAGCATCAGATCATTCCTTACTGCCAGGGTCAGTTGTACCAGCTACTTCTGCTTCAAAAAGTTAGTTTACGTGAACTATTAAAAAAAATTTCTTTCCTCTGTAAATTAAAAAAAGTAATATTTAATAATATTACTAGCATTTAGCATCATGTATACTCTTTTTTAGTACTTTAGCTTACGCGATTTTTTCAATGTACGCAAAAATATGTTTGCGACAGATGAACAATTTGAAGAATTTTTATTAATTCCAATAATTTTTATTGCAAATAACACGAAGAGGTTAACTATTCACATGGACATCGAGAATTGAGCAATCAATTAAAAACATATAAATATTATTATAGTTGATTTTTTTTGTTAAAAAAAAATTTAAGCAAAATTACTAAAGTGAGAATTTAGTAATAATTGTTATTTAAATTTTGTATTAATATTTCTAAAAATTAATTTTCATTAAAAAAAAAAAAAACATATTAACAAGAATACAACAATAGTTATGCTTTAGTTACTCTTTCCTTTTTATTTTTAGACGCATTTTATGGATCAGTATCAATGCCACGATGTGATTATCAGATAAGAAATTTGAAAGATAATGAACTTACTGATAGTACAGCTATCGGTGAAATGGTCCAACATAGATGGTCATGTAGTACTGGTTCAAATGAGGAATTATGTTTAATAGTCACTAATTGCTTTATGATAACCAGTGATTCAAGACATCAGCTTGTTGATAAAAACGGATGTTCTCTGGATCGTAGTGTTCTTCCAAATCTTGTTTACATTGATAACGTTAATTTTTATACCTACTTGATCTATTTTTCATTCATAAATTATTATAATTACCAATTAAGTTTTTATCGCATGATTTCATTATTTGATAAAAATTATTATAAAAATACACATTTATTTTTCAAATCTTTCTAACTGACTTAAGCTATATTTTTTCTATTTATCGAAGAAAGTGCATTATAATCATTGATAATCTTTAATTATTTTAAAGAAAAAATGAAATATCTTTGTTACTGTCTCTATTTTACTTTCATTTATTATGGAAGAGCTTACTTTTCAAAAGAAGTAAGTAATCTTCAGCTAATTTAAAAAAGTTAAAATTACTTTTTCTATTGCATTTTTTAGTTAAATGTTGAACAAAACGTATCTGTTTTTGGCTTATCTCAAAAGCCTTTCGTTTATTTTCAATGTCAAATAAGTTTATTGCAACCAAATTTTGGTCGATGCCTTCAACCAAACTGTTCAAATAATCACAGGACACGGTATGTTTGTTAGTTTAGTTGACATATGAAAACTGAATATGATCTGATTTTTGAATATTTTAATTTATCTATGCTTGAGTTCCAAGATGGCAGTATTAGTTTGGAAAATCTTTGTGAATTGTATAGTTCAAAAGCTGTTCAATTTCGTTCTGTTGTTAATTTTTATCTAATAATTGGTAGAAATTGTTTAATATGTTTACTTTGCAATGCAAAAATCAAATTTAACTGACTGCGTCACAGTATTGTTGATAAATTGCAATCCCCTCTGATGCATAACTATTTTTAATAGCGTAATGTGATCAAAATTTAATTAAGGTATTTAATTATACCTTTTGTTCATTTTGCTTTTATTTGATAATCAATTGAATTCTAGCACTCGCAATTATTTTTCAAACATTATTGGAAAGTAAACATATTAAACAATTTCTGTATAATATCCTCAGTATATTCAATTTTTTTTGTCTTTAACCATTACAGTATGGTCACTTCAAACTGTCAAAATAGAGCAAATGTCATAGTCGTTAAGAAATCTGAATGACTTTACTTAAATAGGTCAATATTTGTTTTTATTGACCAGAATATGAAGATTATAGTTGTATAAGTATTTGGTTACTTTAACAATTTGACAAAAAGTAGTAACAGAAGTCGTTATCTAGAAAAAAACTAGAATTAGCATAATAAAATCTGATAATCCTGTTAGAGAACTTATCAGTAGACTATTAAAAATGCAAATTTGTGAATAGTATCAGTCGCCTGTCTTATCAGTTATCCCTAAATAACTATTTGCAATACTACCTCTGTTATGAACAGCACCTTTTGTTTTTTATCTTTATGATTGTAATAAATTTTGATCTAAGATACATTACTATGTAAAACATTTTCAGAAGAGGCTTAATATCGGCTCTAGAAAGTGATAAAACTCAAATATTCGATGTTGTATCACAATCAATTGAAATTCTCGATCTAGATCGGCGCTTAAAAAAGTAAACTTCGATTTGTAATTTTGCAATTGAGAAACTTTATAAGAAATTATTAGTAAAATTTAATCACTATTAGAATGCAAATTTACATCAGATTTAAAAAGCAATAACTAGAAATAATATATTCTTTTGTAAATAGATATGATTTGAATCAAATAATTTCATATTTTTCATTACTACCTGAGTTAACTTAGTTTGTATAAAGCATTTAAATAGGAACCAGTAATTAAGAAATTCAGAGAAAGTTGTCATCGATCACCAGAAGTTCATTTTGGACACGTATTGGACGATCAAATTGTTTGCTTAACGTGGACTTTTTTTGTTGCAACAACTATTTTGATCACTTCGGTGAGTTTTTTACGATATTGGTATAATGTTATATTAATTTTTAGGCTTATTTTTGAGAATTTTAGAAAATAGTCAATGTTATTAATTGTTGAATTACATTTAATTTTTTCTCGATTTTATTAATTTATATGAGCAGTGAATGCTTTTTAAAAGATAAAAATATGTCTAATCAGCACGATAATCATACTGAACGGCAAGTAAGCACATGGTAAGGTTTATGATTTCAGAGAAAAATTATAAAAGTGTGAGTGGAAATATTATCATATGACATTTTTAAAATTCAAAATAAATGCAAAATTTTATTAGCAAATAATCTGCTTTTATAAATTATGCCAATGCAAGGATTATAAATAGTTGAGATTGTGTTTGTGTTTCGAAGCATAATCTCAGCACTTTTGTTCTACGTATGATGACGTATTTTCCTTCTAAAAACGTGTGTTAATTTTTGTTGTATTTTCAGCTAATACTGGGTGTTATTACTACAACAATCGTACTACTTTTTCGACGTACGCATTGTCATGATATTACGTAAGTATAAAAGAAATAAATGCATACCACATTTGTAGTGCAATACTATTTGTATTTCAAGCAAAAAGTATAAAAGATGGTAGTCTCGTTGTTTTTATTTGTATAATTGAGCGACTAAATCTTTCTGTTGAGGAATATTTCTGAAATATTTTCTAGTAACTTGTATTTTGTAAAGATTCAATGTACTGTCAAATTGAAAAGCAGAGTAGTATTTATTTAAAACAACTAAACAATTTTTGTCTTAGTTGCATAATTTATTTATACGGTTTTGCAAAAATTATTATACTTATTGTCATAATACAATTTATACTTATTATCTTCTTAGTTATCATAGTTTTTGTCAGATCTGTTTGCTTTATACAATGTTGTTAGATATACTAATGCATTGTTTAGAATCTAATTTAGTAAGTAGCTAAATGAAGCATTCATGCAATATAAATTATGTATCAAATTGATCAGTGTTAGGATGTAATCTCACTCAATTTTATTTGCTTCATGCATATTGTATTATTAAGACCGAACTGAAAGAAATATCTTCAAGAACATTTTTGTACTGTGAAAAATTTACAGAATTTGATTTGTATAATTGTGTATTATAGTTTGATACATAAAATGCGTCCCATGTATGCATAAAAATTTTTAAATAAAAATAAATTAAATAGTGCTAAATAATATTGTTAAGTTAGCTAGCTTTGGCATGCAAGATAACAAGCGAATGAAAAGTAGCATTTGAAGAAATTAACTTAGTGATGGAATGATTGAATATGTCGAGAGAATTTTTACGTATGCATAGATTAGAGCAAATGATGGCTGCGAGAGATAAAATTTGCACAATATGGTATTTTTGACAAAATTTTTAGATCTGAAATATACGTAAGGTCACAGAAAGTGCGTGATTGAGGAATCAGAAGTTAATAATGATCAACGTTAAAAGCGTACCACCTCGTAATAATTTTAAAATGATATTTGTTTACGTTTTTCATACCATTGGCAAATAACAACAGGTATATATTTTAAAAAAGAAACTGCAATATTTCCGTGTTATAACTTTAGTACTGATGACAACAGTTTTTAATGTAAATAATCAAACTAGGTTATCGACATTTTGATAACAAGAATTGCTTCCAAGTTATGTACTTTCCTATAGAAAGATTGCCTTACTTCATTCATTTGACGTAAGGTCACTTTCTGTGACCTTACGTCTATTTCATACATTGTTGCATAGAGTTGTGATGAAACACTTTAGAGACAATTAGTACTGAAGCAGCTTGCATGACGGATTCAGCGTGGTTGTGAGGTTTCATTTATTGTATCAGTCAGGGTATTTAGCGACGGATTGAAAGAACGTATAGCTTAAGTAGCCAAGAAAGATAGAGTACTTGTGTTTGGGCTGGTAAATTCTCAATAATGTTAACTCGAGAAAAAGATAGGTCTTAGTATTTGATTATGAGGAAAATCAAGGCATGGCTTGTAAAAGACTGAAATTACAGTTAGTAAGGAATTAAAAAAATAAGTGAGTTTGATAGGCGTAATGGAAAAGGGTAAAGTGTGATGGTCAACTAAGAAACTAAGTGACTTTAGAAAACAGTACTGTTTAAGTCAAAAATTGGCAGCATTTAAGAGAAGTGTTTCTGAACTATGTTTGTTTCAGAGTAGTCTCTCAGGTCATTTGTTTTTGTTTTTTTGTTGCCTAACTTTGTATTTTGATGTGTGCATAAAACATGCAGTGATACTGTGTGGTAAGTTTAGTTTAAAATGTAAAGTTTTTATACAACTGCTAATTACTTTCTAGTTGTCTTCGTTATTTAGTTTGTAGTTTAGGATCAGTAGAATGGCCAGTTATAGAATCTTCTGACATTTCTGAAAGTCAGATTTTGATAAATTTAAGTAATGTTCTGCATCTTTGTTAAAGTTCCATCGCAAAAAAATTTCCTTCTTATCTCCTTCTATAAATTACACTGCCAAAACAAAGATTGTTTTGATTTTTCAGAATGCCAAGAATTTCATTTTAATGTTACTTGAAAGCGTTTGAACTTTCGTCTCTTAATATTTTACCACAGATTAAAAAGTTAGTCAATCATTAACGGTAAGATTTCTTTTGTGACTAAAATTTGATGAGTCATATGGTATTTAAAGCATTTCATGTTTATTACCAGCAGGCCTTATCAGTTAAGAATACCACTTATTATGTCAAGGTTTATGCATAAAGCAATGGATGGGCAACAGCAAATCCGTCGTAGAAGAAAGTGAAGTTTTTTATTATTCGAGGGGTGAAATGTGTTATTTTGATCTATTTTTAAATATCTTATAACGAAAATAAAATTGAAACATCATATTCTTTGTAAATTCAGTGCACTTGACAAAGTCTATAGCAGTTTTGTAGAATGACATATTACGATGTTCTTGGAGTTTCAAGACACGCTACACAGGAAGAGATCAGGACTGCTTATTATAGAAAATCCAAAGAAGTAAGTATATTTTGAGGACAGTTTAATCTTTATGTTTTTTGCTGAAAACTAGTTAAGAAAAAGTTTGCAGTTTGGATCAGCTATATCTTTGTTAGTGATTGATGGATTTTTTCCGATTTATTTTTAGAATACCGATTATTAACTATCGTTCTGGAGATTTAAAGAAGAAATTTTCAGGTACATCCTGACAGATTCAAAAATGCAAATGATGCAGAACTGAGACGAAAAAGTAATGAATTTATTGAGCTCTCAACAGCATATGAGGTTCTTAAAGCTCCGCAACGACGAGAACTGTATGATGAATTAATGTCAGATGTTTTCGAAGATAATCGAGAGTTAGAAAATTCGGACTCCGATGAGTTGTTTATGGGCTTAGACCATCAATTAAAAAGGTCCCTTATATTACTGAAGGATAGTTTGAATTATATTCAAGTCATATTTCCATTTCTTAGGAATGCTTCTATAATCAGTCATTTTTCCATGTGTTTAAAATTGTTGAGAATAATTAAAATTTAATTTTATTCCAGACCATTAATTGACGAAGATTATGGTAGTTACCGGACACGTTTCCACTTCATTGGTCATTTTTTACTTTACTTATTGCAAACTGTGATTATCTCATTAATCATTGTTGGATTTTTTATTAGTCTTGCAAGGTGATTATTATGAACACCAGTTTATTGTAAATGACTTTTGCAGTTGATATCTAGTTTTTCATGTATTGTATAAAACTAAATGCAAAACCATTTTCTGCTCTAAGGTTTTTAACTGTTAAAAGTTAGCGATTTTTATAATTTTAGAAAACCGTTATTTGGCGATTAGTCAGTAAAATTGAAGCCTTTCATGAATTTTGAAGTATAAATCATCTCCTCATAACAAGTGGGAAGAAACGTATCAAGTAATCACATTCTTCTTAGTTTCGTTGTTACACTTATCTACTGGATTACATGTTGATTTTCAATCATTTCAGAAGAATATTGAGCATGTAGTTGTATATTTTGTTCCTTTTGAATTTATGTGGCTCGTAAAAGTTTTGTAAGACTTAAGTACAAATTATCGTAACGGAGAGAAGTAGCGAAGTCAAACACTATCATACGTCTTTCTGCTTATGTTGTGTATTATATTTTCCAAGATTTCCATGTATATTTCAATCTCTCAGCAGTACGGTTTTGCTGACGCATCAGGAATAAGTCATTTCAGTTACAGAATTGGTCATTTTCTTTTATGTATAAATACATATGATCATCTTTTGTGTATGTTATGCAGGAATTTTCCTCGGAGTTTTTAAAATTTTGCATTTCGCTAATACAAATAAATTTTGCATTACTGATTATGCGTTGATCAGAAGCGAAATATTGAAAAAGGTTGTTTAAGTAATTGTTTATTCAATTGTGGCAAACTGCATGATATTTGAAATCTTGTTCATTTACGCATCTTTGTTTGTGAAAAGAATTTAAGGCATGCGTGCAATTACATTACATTATTTGTGTGGTTTTTTGAACATTTAATAGTCATGCATTCAATAGTCATCGTGGCAGGTAATGGAAGACAATCTTGAAGAACGAATAGCAAACTTGGAAGAACGGTTGGGACTATATAAGTCTGGAGTTGGAAACATAAATGGTGAACTGAATAATTTGCGAAGGAAGTTATCACTTGCCGGCTGTGGTTTCTTGCTGAAAATCCCGTCGGATCTACTGCATAGGATTAACGACTTAGCGATTGGTGTTGGTTTTTACTTATATTCTGGTAAAACTTGTTTCGTAAAATATTTTTTTAAATCAGTAATACTAAGTGCCTGCCCATTAATTCGTGCGTTTTTGTGAAAAGTTGTATCCTTATTAATTTCTTGACAATAATAGTAATTGGTAACTGCAAATATATTCTACTTTTATTTATTTTAAAATTATCATGAAAATATTGCAAAAAAAGAAAAGGCACTAATTTTTGATAAATCTATTTGAATTGTATTTTTCAGAATGATTATTTGACTACAACGGAGAAAAAAAGAGAAATTGAATTTGGTCATGACATAATGCTCAAACGAGTAGAATTATTGCAAAAGTTTAAAAGAGATTCTGAGGTTGTTGTTATGAATCATTGAACTTTTAGTGCTTAAACCCCTGTTTTTTGAAGTTACAGTTCTTTAAATTTCGAGATTAGGGTAAGAGTTGGATTAAGGTCATTACTGAAATGTTGTTAAGAGTTTTGACAGCATTTCGGTAATTTCCTTGATGAAAAAAAATTAAGAGAGAAGAAAAGATTTATGATCTTGTGATGTGAAAATCCAATTATGGCATGTCTGAAAATCGGTAAGATGATCAGTTATTCAAGTATTTATCTTATATACCTGCAGTTGTTTTATATCCAATCTTTTTTTAATAGATTGCATTGAATTCGGAATCGATCGCAAGTGTATGCTATCGTTTAAATGATCTGGAAGCTGTTGAAAAGGAAGTTAATGATTCGACTGCATATGTGCGGGAGTCAGTAATTTTGTTTCTTTCGTGTAAAATTTGTGTTACTGCATTGTAAATTTATTATAAGTGAGGAAGAATTTCTTGAGTTACGCATGCTAAGTCATAATTTTTTCGATTTTTTCGTCTTTTTAAGAAACGAAATTTCAAGTTTTATTGTAAAAAAATAAGGCAATTTTATTATTATATTTCAAGCATTTGAATTTTTCTAAATCACCATTATCAATTTTTCCAGGCACCATATGAATGTTGCTGATATTAAAAGGAAATTTGTAACACTTTTGGAACAACTTCAATATCAGGTTCTGGAATGGCAAAGTATTGTAGAAAAACTTGAACGGGATCGGGAAGAAAAGGAATGTGCAGTATAATTTGTAGCTGTATATTTCGGTGGTTTAGGAAGCTAGCTTTCAGCCCATTTTTTCCTAATGTGTCGGTAATATGTGTGCAATTTTGATCATTCTTATCGACAGTTTTTGTCACTTGGAATGAAAGTATCGTACTGCATTTGTATACTTTCCATGAGATCTTTAAATTATCCTTAAATTGATATTGATATAAGTAGTAAACTGTGTTTAAGTCCTTGTGTTTGCTATTAATATATGATGTAATGCGCTTGAAGATAGAGCAATGACAGGAATAAATTCCGAAAAATTTACTGTAAAGGTCAGATTGGAAAAAAAATCACAGTGTACGAAACGAATATACAAGTGGCTACATCCTTAACAATTTTGATATTCAAAAAACCTCCCTTCCAGGAAACTGTCATTAAAGTGATTAAAATCTTTTGTACATCTATGTTTGATGCGGGCGGGTACGTGAAAACTTACTTTTGTCTAGTAGATTTTATATCTCCTGATATCATACTTTTGCACATAAAACTTTATATTTGCCAGTAAGTTCGTTGTATATCTTTGAATCTGTTTTTTAAGCATTGTAAACACTGTGCTGCAAAAGCATACATAAATAATTCAGTTTGGGGCGAAGTTTGTTGGTCGTGAAATTGAAATGTGCTGGAATTTAACAACAGAACATAATGAGGAATTTTTATTTCTAACATTTAGTGGCACAACAAAAATCTGTAATTTGTATTATAAATTTTAAAAATCTATTAAACTGTGAACTTTCCTTACTTTTGGTTTATTTCTTTTTTCGTTTTCACATTATCAGATTGATAATTAAGAAGCAGAAAATCAGAAGTCACAGACTCTGGTACTCCTTACTCTGTTCATTCCACAACTTCTGTTTCAAACTACACACATAATTATCAACATATTTCTACAGTAAACGCTGAGAGTTGTGTTTCATAAAGGATATATTTAAATATTTTTACGGGGCGGTGAAGTACTTGAAATCCCTCTTATCTCAGTCACTGACCGGAAAAATCGTGACATGATCAACCAACTTTATATTTCTCTCAGCATCATTACTTTATAACAAGTTTTCAGTTTTTAGTTTAGGATTCTCAGCAAGTTCTTTTTCTAAATGATTAAAAAAACTGCGTTTTCAAGTTTTACAAATAAAAACATACTTGAGCTTTTAACCAGAAAATTTCTTCTTACTTCTAGAAATTTGCTCACTAAAATTATACTTCAAAAAATTTGGATTCATCGTTTATCGCTTGGCACGTAGTTTAATTTTTGAGAAAAATTTTATTGTGCATTTGTTATTTTTTTAATTCTCATCCGTAACAATATATTATGCATGTATTATTATTTTCAATAACAATAACAAATTAATTGATAAAAGGTCAATTTTATGCAAATGGGTAAAAATATATTAGCAATAAAAGAAGTAAACGGTTCAAATAACGTTTATAAGCAATAAAAGAAGTAAAAGTTTTAAATACTGTTTATAAGAAATAAATGATGAAAATTTTTGTATTTACTAAATAATGTCTAAATTTATCAAATTTGGGTAAAAAATTTTTAACATTCTGAAATACCAGTCACAGTTACGGAACACGTATAAATTTTGAATTTAATGATCATTTTACGAGGTTAGTGAAGGAAGTTTGATGGAAGAATGATTTTAGTACTTGTTAGCATAATTTTGTATTATCGGTCAGTTCAGTTCATTTTAATTGAATGTATTTTTAGTAGGATTCAAAAGCAAAATGTGGATGAAAAAGTTGGCGAAATCAAAAAAATATAACTGCTGTAATGAAGCTAACGAAATACTTTCGAATAAAACAAAAATATGTTCCACTGAATCAATGGATAAATCATTGAGAAAATTTCAAATTTTAGCATTTTTTGGTATAATTTTAGCAACAACTTCTACTATAACTGCAGCATTATTAATACCATTACTTTACGGTTACGTACTACGTACATTATCATTGATCGAATCAGAGATTGTTTATTGTGTCAGTCAAACTAAATTAATCGCAACTCAGCTCAGTGAGGTCGAAATTTTTCAATCAAGTTTATAATTATTTTAACTTATCAAATTTATTTTCCTGACTGTTTGGTTGTTGGATTTGAACAGATGACCAATGTGCTTATTATTACCGAATTCATTAGATATGATAAATAATTTTTTATGCTAACTTCTTGTGCATTCACTTATTTACAAATATTTTTCACTTATAATAGATCAAAGCATTCAAATATTTTCGCAAATATTATTATGGTTTATTTAATTAGTTACAATACTTATTAATTATCTTTCATTTGATAAAAATTTTAAACTTTTCATTCAATTTTGATATTCACTATAAATAATATTTTTGTATAAAATGAATGACAGACTTTGTGACAAATTAAAATCTCAGATTCATAACCGTATAAATATTGTAAAAAACCGAAAAGGACGACAGGTTGTTTACCGATATCGATCTTCACTTACTTACGATAATAATTTGAATGATCCGTATCAATGGACTTCTCATATTCCTGTATCATCAAATACTTACTATAAGCAGTCTTTACCAGAATCTAAAACTTGTAAGTACTTGTTTCTTCTAATGTAATATTCTATTTTGCAGTCTAAATAATTAAACCAATTAAAGATGGTATTCTAACAACCAAAAATTTTTATTTCAATAATATTTCTTCAGTACAAAATTTTTAATTATTTATTTTGAAAAAATAAAATACTGTCCTGCCTGGAATCAAATTCATCTGAAATATCAAATTTATGAGTGCTATTTCAAGTTTTAATCTTTGGCATGAAAGTGAAAAACTCAACAAATTTTAACTCAAACTTCATTTATTTACAATAGATTACCGATTGTGGTCATATTCATCTCCCTCAACAATAACAAAATGTTGTAGCTGTAATATTGGTGGAATTGGTCCACCGGGAGCTCCAGGAAGTGATGGAGAACCAGGTAAAGTTTGATTTGCCTCAAATTCAGAGTTATAATGTGCAATGGATAACTTACTATAATTGTCAGTCTGATCAGCTCCATCTTTTTAAAATCTTTGATAGCATTATTTGTGTGCTGCAAAAATATAATCGATGCTTAATTATACTTTTAAAATTTTATTTTCCATTATGTTGTTGTTATTATATTATTTGCTGTATTATAAAGTTGCTTTGAGGTGTGCATGGCTTACCAGGTAATGATGGCATGCCTGGAAAAGATTATAATTTTGGTGATAACAATGAAAGCGTTTGTTTGACATGTTCACCTGGACCTCAGGGTAAACCAGGTGACCCAGGCCCTAAAGGTCTGCCAGGTCGTCCAGGATCAAATGGACCACCTGGACATCCTTCACTTGTGCCAGGTTTACTTGGTTTGCCAGGTCCTGCAGGTCTTCCCGGAGTTCCTGGTGAACAAGGACCACCAGGTCCCCTTGGAAATCCAGGCATGACTATCAGTGGTAAGTCTTTACCACTGTTTCATCATTTGCGATTAATGGTCATTTTCTATAAAATATTATTTTCGATTTATTTTTGAAATAAATTTTATGAAGCAAAATTTTATTTGCTTTCAGGAGAGAGCAGGAAAGTGATTGTTGGTCCACCAGGATTACCAGGACCTCCAGGCATTCCTGGACTTCCTGGAGTACCAGGTCGAACTATACCTGGCACTATTGGCCCACCAGGAGATCGAGGAAAACCAGGTCAACCTGGTCTTCCTGGATTGCAGGGGTTGCCAGGCTTAACAGGTCCAAGAGGTGCAGCAGGTGGTTGTGACCATTGTCCACCAGCGAGAACAGCTCCTGGCTATTGGAAATAATCGTTTCTTGTATTAGAATCATGATAAAATAAAGTACCATATATAGTTATTGCAATGGATGAACGCTGTTAAAATTTTATGAGTATATATGAAAATGAATTTATTTTTGACTTTTAAATATGATATGACAATTTGCTTGTTGAATATATTCTGCAAAAATAAAAAATAAAATATCGGTGGACATAATTTGTAATCTCGTCGTAATCATAAGGAATGGTTTTTTTTTTCTTTTTTCTTTATTTTAAACTCAGAATTATAGCTTTTTATGCAGAATTCAAGAAATACAGATATTGTGTTTCACGTAATCAAGCGTAATCTTCAATAATTACACACAAGAAGTGTTCGTAGAATTCTGACATGCTAACAGAATTCTCATATTACGTATAGGTCTGAATGACCTAAATTTTGCTTGGTAACATACGCACTTATAAAAATGAATTGAAGAAAAGCAAAAGCTGAGAGATACTTTTGACCACATACTTAATTATAGCTTGTTGTTATCCTTTAGTAACCAAAGTACATAAAACATAAATGTAAACAAATTATTCCAACAACATTGTTGAACACAAATAGGCAAACGAGTTTTTAAGAATGGTTTAATGGACTGAAAAGAAATATAATAAGAATAAAGTGGAAACGATTAATAAACATGATAACACTCGTAAAAATTACAGATGATAAATTTTAGGCGTAACTCAAACTGTAGTCAAAAGCAACAATTGTTTTATATGAGGTTATTACAATTTAATCAAATTTTGTCTTCTAGTAACGAAAGTATTAATTAGTTCAAAATAAAATTTGTTTAGGACGATTTTTATTGCTACAAAACTAAACTTTAAAGTAAAATATTTGTGATAATATAATTTTTGCGAATAAGAAAGTATATAGTAAAAATAATTCTAAAATGATTAATCATTTTTACTTTATGGCAACAAACAAAGTCCTTCTGAATATTCTGAAGTAAGCTATCTCGCTTAGATAAAACAATTAGTAATAATAATAAATTCATTTTTATTACTTTTATTTTACATTTTATTCTATGCATTATTACTGTGATTGTAGCAGTAAAACATTATTTTTTAATTAATAAAAATTAACAAATTTTATTAATTGGTCATTATATTTTTTCTAAAAAAAAAACTACAATTTACCAGAATTCTCAGCAGGAATAACTTGATTCATTTGACAATTCTAATTGTTAATACTTCGAAAAATAAATGGATACATTTAAATAGCTTATTGCAAAAAGATAATTCTTGAATCGTTAATAATAAACAATAATAACATAATTAGATGATCAATAATAAATGCGATCTTTTCTTCATTCAAGTTTCTTTATCCACTGTTGATTACCATTACCAAACTACGCTCTCATCGATTTAGCAGCTCTGATCAAAATAAAAGTTTAAAATTTTATTTACTGTTTTTTTTTTGCATTTTCGTGTTATTACCTATGACAAAATATTTATTTCATTAAAACAATTATTAATTCGAATTAATGTTTTTACTGCAAATAATCAATTTGTGATCATTTATTTATTCATATAATCACTTACTTAACAATTAAGGTAAAACATTTATAGCATAAGTTTAACATTCAATTTGACAAATTTTCAAATTATTTTCAAATATAAATTTTACAATGAGATTTAATTTTATGATTTAAATTCATAGTTTGAAACAACTCATTGTTTTTGATAGATTGTGGAAGATGGAATAATTTTCAGACAATATGGTTCTAACCACTGATGAGAAGCTCAAGCTAGAAGAAGTAATGATTTTGAAAAAAGCAGCTTTCTTCGGTGTTGCAATATCAACATTAGCTATACTCACAGCTGTCACTATTGTTCCAATGGTTTACAATTACGCACAGCGCATTCAGACAAACTTACAGTCTGAAATTAACTTCTGTAGACGTCGTACAATTGGTCTTTGGGAGCAATATTTTGCTGTGTGCATTTCAAATTTGTGCAAAATAATTTTCAATTCATTTAAGCTAAATTTAAAACTGCAGTTTTTTTCCAGTTCCATATATTGTATTATATAGTTACTTAATAAATCACCTGATCGATGTTAAAAAATTTCATTGAATTATCCTTATAAGTTCTAAGCACAAAATCGTTTCTTTTATTGCATATTTAACTTTAATTTTAGCTTTTATACAATTTACAAATAAATTGTAATATATCACATCGTACTTTTCAAACGCAAGAAGGCTGGAGAAAAATAAATTTTATATTTTAGCTAAAATTAAAGCTTTGAGTAATTTCCAAGCACTATTCATCCTAGAGACTAATGAAAAATAGAATCATGAATAAATTTACTGTTTTAGGTTGAAAGATATGCTCTATTAAACAGACGTGAAAAACGTGAAATGCCTAAAAGGAATGTTGTTAAATCATCAGGAACAGTGACATCAATGCAAAATCGACGTACTTCTTTCCTGAAAAAACAATCTCAAAATGAAGAACATGCTGAAACATATAAAGCTTCAAAGCGTAATTCAGAATTTTCTGATGAAATGAACATTGCCGATAATTTTAGCGATGAAAAGGAAAAATCAGCTGAAACTTCTGATGAATTTAATCAGCCTACAGAGTTGAGAAAAGAAATTAAAAATGATGAAGACGTAAATGATAACTTTGGTGCTACAAAATGTTGTAGTTGTAAAATCGGTGCTGTTGGACCACCTGGACAAAAGGGGAGGCCTGGAAAAAATGGTATATTTTATTAGTATCTTTTAAAGAAATTATCCAAAAAGTTCCAATAATGGTAATTACTGCAACATTTCAGCTAATAAGCAGTAATTCTAAGTGTAACTTTTTTTTTCAACCAAAAATAAAACCAAAAATAATCACCAATTCCCTACTTAAATAACTAACAAAAAATTTTGTCAACCATCGTTACCAAAGGTTTTTTTACAACTTTTTGAAATTATTGTCATAGTTACACTGTTTTTAAATGCAGTTAACCATTTTGTTGTAACTTTTTATTTACTCAACTGTGACTTGAATGAATCAAGGGAAAATTTTGATTGCAATTATTTAGGTAGAGATGGTAAAGCAGGGTTAAATGGAACCCCAGGACATGATGCTAAATCGCACCCAGTATCAATGGAAAATCCTTGTTTTCGCTGTTCTCCTGGACCACCAGGATCTGCTGGACCGCCAGGAGCAAAGGGTATAGTTGGTCCAAGGGGAGCACCCGGACCTAGTGGAAAAACTGCAAAACCAGGACTCGCAGGACCATGTGGACCACCTGGACCCACTGGTTTGCCAGGTCTTACTGGTCCAAAAGGTTATCCAGGTCAGCCTGGAGATGTAACAGAAGAAGATGGACCACCCGGACCACAAGGTTCAAGAGGACAACCTGGTCCACCAGGACGACCAGGGCAACGAGGAATCAGTGGTAAGAAGGGTGCACAGGGTTTAACGGGGCCACCAGGCAAGAGTGGCAAAAATGGTCGTGCAGGTGCACCTGGAATACCAGGGAACGAAGGTAGAACAGGACCAAAAGGTTTAAAAGGAAGTTGCGATTACTGTCCAGCGCCGAGAACTCCTCCTGGATATTGAATTTACGTAATGAATAAAAAGTATTCTCTATAAGTCCCATTTTTTTTGTCATTCAATATTAATTGTCAGAACCAAAACTCACTTTAGTCATTTGTGATTTACACGTTGTTTTTTATTGGTTTTAATAAGTGTAGAAATCACATTTATTTTTTGTAAGCAGCATTCATTTTACAAATTAACTTACAACTTTTAGATCGACTTCTTGATTCATCTGGTGAAGTGTCATATTTGACCTTAAAGCGCATCATTTTGAAATTCATTATTTGTTATAAATAAATTTCTCTGTAAGACATCAAGTAATTTCAAAATTTTTTATTAAAGTTTCATAAACAAGGAAACATTTTAAAAATTGCATAAGCTATTGCTATTGCAAATAAACTTTAATATTACTTTTTAATCTTATTTAGCTTTTTTTCATATTTCTCACATTTGCTTTACATTTGAATTTATTTTTATTTATTTGAATTAAAATTTACTTTTATAAGTTTGAATGTAAACAAAAGTAAGCAGTCAAAAATAATACAATATGCAAACTAACATATATGACTTACTATCCGTGATTTATATTGTATTAGAATATTTGTGAGTTTATTTTAAATATATTGTGATATAATTTCAGTCTTGAAATTCAAAATGTTTTATTGTACATTATCATTTTTTAAATAATTAATAAAATATGTAAAGTATTGTACTTTATTATTTAAATGATTTTATATTTCTTCAAAAATTCATAAACAATTTGTCAGTAAAAAGTTGATTAGTCTATGCATTTCTTAACTCAGTTTTCTTTAATTTAAGTTTATTTAAGTTTTTCTAATGTGGAAATTTTTAAAATTAATCAAAGAAAAAAAAGAAAATATAACTGAAACTTAAAAAAGTTACAAGAGTAAGATTTACATTTAAATAATTTGAGTAGATGAAAACAACTTAATGAAGGTTTCACAAGTTCCATTTCAATGGCGAATTTTTATTTATTCATTTACAAATTTAAAAATAAAAGGTTGATCACATAAATGATAGACAAGACTGTATAATAAGAAGACAAATATATCCCGTACAGATGACTTAAAAGTGGTTCCTACAAAAATTAAAATTCGAGTTTACATCTAAAAGATGGACTTTTTTCGAAACACCCTTTAAAAATTTGCAATGTTTTTTTGCAGACCCTTGAATTAATTCTCCTATGAAGTAAGCTCATTTTATTCATCCTGAACTTCAAGCTACTTTATTTATAAAAAGCGTTATGAACCAGTTATTAGTATTTATGCAAATTTTTCTCATACATGAACCAGTTATTAGTATTTATGCAAATTTTTCCCATACATAGTCATGGAATTTTAAAGATGACTGTAGCAGAGATGTGTTCCTTGTAGAAGAATTTTAATTACAGAATGAAAAACTTCAGATCAAAAACTTTTGTCTGTAATTACAACATTCATAAGAGAATTTTTGTACAGAATACGTACTACTAATTGCATAAGATTATCAATTTGTACAATTATTTTATCAATTTGTTAAGACGAGAAGAATTGGTAGCAAAAGAGAGGAACAAAATTTTCATGAAAATGTGATGGAAAATTGAGCATCGTGAAAATGCTCTGTTTTCGACAAAAAATTAATTTGTGATTTTTTTTTGATAATAAAATAAAAAACAATCAATTAAGTGTGGTATTCGTCTTCAAGAGAGAATTTCTGTGAGAAAGCAAAAAGAAAAAGCACCGTTTTGGAAAAGCAGAGGTTCGAGAAGGGTCAACATGTAGTCCTGTCCTAATGGAGCAGACTAGAACGAATGAATAAGCTTGCAAGATGTATGAATGTCACAAATTTAAAGAAATGCAATACCATTTGTTTGTCGCAAAACTTTTCAAGCAAAGAATTTCAAACTTTACATCAATCTTAGTTAAGAGATGAAACAAAAATTGATGAAAAGCTAATTATGATGATATTAATTACTTCGCACGAAGTTACTGCAAAACGATTGCCATAGCTATTACTGTGCTAAGAGTGCGAATGACATTAATAACCAGGCGCTGTTCGTGGTGGTGGACAATGATCACATGTGCCAGGACTACCCTCAGAACCAAATTCTCCTGGTTCACCAGGTAAGCCATCTGCTCCTGGGGCACCTTGCACTCCAGGATCACCTGGTGGTCCTAATGGACCGACAGGACCAGGTTTTCCACTTAAACCTGGTTGCCCTGGAAAACCAGGTGGTCCAGGTCGTCCTGGAAGACCTGGTAAACCTTGTGGTCCTGGCACTTCAGTAAGAGTGCCAGGTAAACCTTTAGGTCCTGGTGGTCCTGGTGGCCCTGGTGGCCCGGGAAGTCCAGGTAGTCCAGGTAGTCCTGGTGGTCCTGGTTCAACTATTGCATCTGCTCCTTGAGTTCCAGCAACTCCTGGTAATCCTTTTGGTCCTTCAGGCCCAGCTGGTCCCGGTGGACCAGGAGGACATTCAAAGCAGTAATCTTCAGCTTCTGTCACCACAGTTTCATCACTATGCTTACCTGGTAACCCATCTAATCCAGGTAAACCATCAACGCCTGAAAATTTGTACCTCTCTTATATATAACCCTAACAGTTCTCTTTCATAAAACAAGTAAAATCAAATTTCAAACCATTTTTTCCATTCTTTCCCGGAGGTCCTTGTGGTCCAGCGGGTCCAATGCTACAACTACAACACCTGCCTTGGTGAATGTTGACATCACTATTCCATTCAACAGATTTTCTTGCATCATCAGTTTTTGAATTTTTGACCGAAACTGAATTTATCCAGAAATCAAATTAGTGGTGTGGAAATCAAAAAATGTTACACTTTATTCTTTTACTTTTCTAAAATTGAATATTTATCGTTACTTCTTGCTATTTTTATAAAAAAAATTATAGCAAAAGATTAAATTAAAATTTTTCCAATTTCATCTTAGTTTTTAAATCTTGAAGTTTTCTGTTTTTTTGCTCAATACGAATCTATCACCAGTTTTAACTTTCTTTTTTCTTCTTCAATACCAAAATTCTAGCATTCCTATTCTTCTTTTTTCTTATAAAAAAAGTTTGACTAGCACTGAATTTGATCTAATTCGTTGATCAAGTCGAAAGCTATAAAATATGTTTAAGCATTCAATGCTAAAATATAAAATTTATTTAATGTTTCTGTTATTAATTGCTAATTGCTAAAGCAAGCAGTTAGTAGTGAAGAACTCGTTGCAAATATGTGACAACAACAGGTAATAAAGAATAAAGTTATTATTTATTAATGTAAAAGCGAAATTTTTGACAACAAGTAATGAATAATAATAACTTCATTTAAGTGCTTAATTACCAAAATTGTTCTTTTTTCAAATTACCTTTAATTTGCTCGTGATATGAAGTTAATTGCTTACCATTTTTATCACCAGTGTTACTGTTATTTTCTGGTGCTAATACTTCTCCACTAGTAATTGTGGATGTAATGTCGTCTTCCTCTTCAGTGCTATATTCGATACTGTCTTCATCGAGAGGAAATGTTGAAGAGTGTCGTGTATCAGTTCTGGTATGTCTCGGTCTGCTTCTGGTAAAACGACGCTTGTTCGTAAATCTTTTCAAACGATCGCTACCACTAATGTGTAAATTTTTGCTACCAACTAGCAATTGAATCTATAAGAATAATAAGTGTAAAGTAATTATGCACGATAACTTATTCATTATTTTTAATTTATCATATATTAAATAACTACAAATTTATATTTTAGCTATTTCATACAAAAACTACCATTATCTAACTAACTGTTTTGTAGTGTTATTGACGCTAAGCTACACTTTTTTTTTCATTTTATTTCATAAATATTTATTTGTTAATAAATTTGCAAAAAATATTTTCATCTATGCATAAAATTAACCTGATAGTTTCAATTTATTGTAAATTACAGTACTCATTAAACTTAGAATTTTCTAATTA